GATAATTAAATTTGTAATTATTTAATTACCTTAAATTAGACCAAGTAAGACAATTAAATTTGTTAATTGTTTAATTACGTTAAATTATGGTAACTGACGCGATTGGATTTGTGTATGTGAGGCATACTATCTAGTTTAAATAAACCTTATAGCTTGTTTATTGGTTAGAACATGTGTTTTCTAATAATCAAATACCAATAAAAATTAAGCGGGTTGAATGAGGCCCATGATTCGTTAATTCTTTTTACTTAAGGACGCCACTTAGGAATGAAAAACAACCCAATTGCATTTGCTACTTTCATACATGCATGCATGCATGCAGACACACAACACAGATATATATATTAGTCTAATTGCATTGATAGAGTTTTCTTTCTTTTTTTTTTTTTGTTAAAGCATATTGGATAGATAAGTGTAGCTACTTTTTTTAAAATATGTTTGAGATTTTAAAGTTAATTATAGTTTACATAATTTTAGACAGTATGAAATATCTTTCTTATCAACAATTCATACATAAATAAATAAATAAACGGCCCACCAAAGCACGTCCCACTTCAAAACTTGTTTAAGTACATTTACTTATACGTTTTATTAAACAAATTGAAATATCCTTATACTATATAAGAATGAGTTTGGGTCAAAGAATGGTTTTGAATTTCAACCGCAAGAGTAGGGGTATTTTGAGATTGTGAGATTGTTTTGAGTGTAGTTATAGTATTGGGTACTACTTTAAATAACATGTGTATTATTGTGTTAACTGAAATGTCCTTGTATTCTAAAAGATGTAGTGATAATTTGTTCAAAGGTTTGAGTAGTTTGGGAATGTGAGATTATTTGGTCATCTTTTCTACAATGGGTACAACCCATAATAGCTTTTTTATTGGTGTAATTACTTAAATGTCCTTGCAGAGACATTCATTTTGGTTTGTACCAATTATTACTGTTACTTTGCTATTATAACTTGAAGAACTTCAAACGTCATTTTCATCTCAATTAAAGCAAGGACAATGTGGTTTATTAAGGAATTTATGATTGAGCATTAGTTTCAACTTCAATTCTTCAAATGTCTGCCCCTTCACATTCTTCTGTTATGTTCCTTCCGTCTTCTGGTAAATACGTATTTGTATTATCATTGTACTCTGGATTTCAATATGGTTCTCTGGTGAAGCTATTCTTGGTGGTTCAACTTGAGGTGAGGTTTCATTCTTTTTTTTTTTAATGGTATGATTGGCTTTGTAAAATCGTAATTTCTATTGTTAGCTAAATGCTTTCATTCCAAAATTGGATACTTTGTTAGAACAGTTTAATGTTGATATTATTGTTTCTCCACAAAGTTGGTTGTTCTATACAATTTAAATGGTGTGGTTTTGTTGGAATAGGTTTGCAGATACAAAACTTCCTCTTTTGGTCTACTTACATGGTGGAGTCTTTTTGATCAAACCTGCCTTCTCTCCTACATATCACGCATACCTTAATGTAGTAGTTGCAGAAGCTAGTGTTGTAGTAGTTTCAATTAACTATCGGCTCGTCCCTGAGCATCCTTTGCCTATTGCTTATGAAGATTCTTAGATTGCAGTCAAATGGGTTGCCCCTCATTCAAATGGCGAGGGTCCCGAGGTATGGATTAGGGATTATGCAGGTTTTGATAGGGTGTTTTTTGGTGGGGATCGTGTTGGTGGCAATTTAGCACATAACATGGCATCAAGGGTTTGGCTAGAGATGCTAGACGACTTCGATCTTGATGTGATTTTTCTCAATTGTCCTTATTTTCGGGGAAAAAATCTAATCAGTATTGAGTTAACAAAATTACAGGCGAAGGCCTATGTTAAGGGCATTTGGCATTATGTTCACCCAAAATCTACGGGGGTTGATGATCCATTGTTGAATTCTCTGATGGAACCAAACCTTTCGAAGCTAGGTTTTGTCGTTGCTAAAAAAGTTGGCTACCTTCATAAACAAGAATGTTGTGTAGATGCATCTTTAAGTGAATAATCACTTTGTTTATTGACATTCTCTGAATCATTTGGGTATCTATTTAAAGTTCATTCAGTCTTGTTAATGAAAAGCTCATATACAAGTGTTTGTTTCAAAATATATGAACCAAGCAAGCTAGCATGCATAATTTCCTTCTCCATCTCCCAGTATACATTAGATATTTTGTTATTTCATATTGTTATTCAATGTGCGTGAGTTTTTTGATATTCGCTTGAACTACCGTAAAATCTTCTTTAATTACAGGCACTAAACATCCGCGCGATGCGCGGGCATTCCCTTCTAGTTTTATATTATATTGATCAGTACTGTATAATGATGACAAGTAGACAGGGCAGTTCATATCAATTTTCTTGGCTGATTATTTATGGCTATGTTTAGCGTGCTTACAATTTTCTTTTGGGATATTCGGGGAATTAATAATGTTGAATTGGACTGAACTAAACTAAACATCGCCCTCTTGATTTCTAAGGCACTCATGTTTGTCTCCTCTTCTGAGCCAACTTCTGCGCTGTCCTTTCAATGACAGCTCGTTGAAAATCACAAGGGCTCATAAAAGCCAAGACACCGTTCAATTAGTTGCCTATAAACATACCACTGATTCCATGCTACTACTATCTATTAATTTCTGTTCAAACTTTCAAGCTTTCTTGCCACACTAACGTTAGCTAGACTAATATAACCAGCATCGAATAATTACAACCATAATACTAGTATGAGGACTTAAAGTTTCAATTTGCCCACTGAACTTTGTTAATATCAATTCTCTCATTAAACTTGTAAAGATGCGCTATTATTGTCAAGACAAAAATGCCCCATGAGCAGTGGCAGAGCCACATACAAGCAAGTGGGGTCAATTTGAAAAATTAGTTCTTAGATTTAGGAAATTTAGAAAATTTCAAAGCTGCATCTTATTTGACTCCACTATATTTTATCAAATTCTCTTTCCTATTAACATTGACCACAAAAAATTGAAAATTCATAATTCTTACCATCACAATAATTTTGAATTTATTTCAAATTATCTATGGAACTTAGTTCAAGAATAAATTTATCTAAAATTTTCAAACACAAAGGGTGAACTTTCTTGAGTGGAGTAAGAAAACCAATTTTTCAAATTATTATTTTTTCAAGCTTCAAAGTCTTCAAAAACAAGAATTATTCAAGTGGATGGTGAACTTTTTATTTATAATAAGAAATTAAGTTATTATGATTTTTATTTATAATAGAGTAAAGATAAATTTTATAAAAGAAACCTGTAGAAGATCAAGTTGATGGTGATTCACAGATTGTTTTAAAAAAAATTCAAGAGGTTCAGTTGCTTACATTGAAAAAGACATATTTAACAAAATTGATAATAAATTGATTTTGCAACATTTTAACAAAAGAGTACTCATAGAGTATAATTATAACCTCTATATAATGTTAGTAGTTTTTTTTTTAAATAAATTTTACTATACTAAAATTTGACCCTACTTACTGTGGGGTCTTAGCTCCACCCCTGCCCACGAGGGTAAGGTTTGCACATCATATGCCTCTACTTCCATTCTTAAACATTGTAATAACTTAATAACAGGTTGTAAGATATGTCTAACTATTTATAAAACTTCATAACAGAAATGCAGTTATTATATATAGAGTCCATATGAATAGTGATGGAGTATCACACAATTATTGTAAAATTGTACAAGTAGTTAAACATATTTTACAGTTTGTTGAAATAGCATTACACCATTCATGACAGTTGTTATGAAAACCTTTTTTATCCCTTACCCCAAAATAATTTACCTTCAGAAGTTTAATGGGCAAACTGATATAAAATAAATAAATAAAGTTCAATGGATATGTGACAACTCAAGAGAAAGAAAAGGTAAATTAGAAACAAGAAAGTAGTTTTTTTTTTTTTTGTCAAACGATAGTCTCTTTATATATTTAGTGAACTTGATAAAACAAGTTGTTAAGTACAAAAGTGGATATTCATCCTATTGTCCTCCTGTATGCTCTCTTTGAGCCACAGGGGGAAGCTTTGCTTCCATACCACATTGGAAACAAGCTTGGTTGCAAATTGTGCCATTTGATGAGCACATCTATTTCCATCTCTATTAATAAACAAAAAGGTACAGTATTGGAACACACCACATAGTTGTTTGATATCTTCCATTATTGTACCAATTGGGGCTTCCTCCCTACCATTCGCATGGATTCTCTCAATGACAGCTTTGCAATCAGATTGCACCTCTATTTCTCGCCATCCAGCTTCCTTAGCCATCACCAGCCCCTGTCGGATTGCATCTGCCTCTTCTAGTTCAGCACCACCTCTGCTATACTTCCTGATACCTCTAGCTTCTACAAGGTTCCCATGACTGTCCCTCGCTACCATTCCTAGCCCCGCTCCTGCTAACTTAATAGGAACGGCAGCATCAGTGTTGATTCTCATTATACCTGTATCTGGTGGCCTCCATTGGTGGTTGAGCAGTTGGTGTCTTGTTCCTGTTCTGTGCTTTGCCTCCTGTTCCATCTGCTCCTCTTGAAATTCCAGACATTCATTGTTTGCTGTTTCTATTACAGACAGATGATCTCTATACTTCCCTTCATACTGTCGAGCATTTCGTGCTTTCCACAATTGCCAGATGATGTTTGCTGTGAGTGTAATGTGATCTTCTCCTCTTGTTCTTTTCCTTGCCTGTAGTAACCCTTCCCACCACCTCCAGAAATTTGCCCGCCATTGTAATAAGCCGTCCCACTGTATTGGGGCCAACTTCCATATAGGTTCCGCCATTTTGCAGAAGAAACAAGAAAGTAGTTGAAAAACCTATTTAGGTAATACTCAAAATTTTTTTCCAAAAACGTGACTATCCAAATCCAAACGCAGTGCGGTTCTTTTCCTTTGCTTTATAAAAACTGAAAAGGCTCTGGGAGTATCGATTTCCAGTAGAGAAAAGAATCCTTGTCATCTACATCAAGTTTATAAATCCTGCCACCAAATCTTCCCGCCCTTTCTCTCCTTCATGGCGAAAGGAGTCAAGGCCTCCGGAGGAGGAAGGCGCCCAGATGATGTATATGGAGACAGACTGAGCAGATTACCAGATCCTAACATCAGTCACATTCTCTCTTTTCTTCCCACAAAATTTGCAGTCGCCACCTCAATTCTGTCCACCAGGTGGGGGCATATCTACCACGATTTTAACAGCTTTGATTTCGACGATCCGATGCCTTTCAAAGCAAATTAAAATGGATTTATTTACAATGATAATTTCATGGATTTTGTCAACACAATTTTACTGCAATCCAGAGCGAATTCAGTGAGTAAATTTCGGATTAGTTCTTTAACCCCGATCAAATGCTTAATTCCTGGATGATTGCCATGCTTTCTTGGGATGTTAAAGTTCTTGACATAAGGTGCCAGCAGTTCGTCGGTAGTCAAATTTTGCCCAATCAAATATTCATAAGAAAACTTTTGTGGTCTTGAAATTATCTGGACAAAGAATCAAACTACGTGAGCTGAATTTCTAGCCAAATCTCAAGGTCTTTCATCTGGATAACATGAACGTATTGGCTGGCAATGATGAAGGTTGGAAATCTCTGAAAATGGCTACCCATTGCTTGAGGATTTACAGATTACTACAACGTTTATTGATCAGCTTGTATACTTTAGTATTAGACTTACTGCACTGATAAAATTGACATTGACTAATATCAAAGCCACAGGTCTGGCCGACGTTGTTGGATTTGACGCCCCAAATCTTCGTTATCTTGAGTGTGACTTTCATCGGGTCGGCGGGGGAAGTTTCGTTTATTCTGCACAGATTAGGGAAATTAAAGTACATCAATTTAGCGGCAGTGAATCTGATCTAGAGTTTGTACGACGTATATTACAGCAGAGTGCTATGCTAAAGTCGGTGTCTCTGACTGCTGCGCCAGATGGAATGGCAGAAGGATGGCCTTATTCGGTCACCGAAAAGTTGATCAATTTCTCAAGGTGCACCAGAAAATGTGAGCTTGAGCTTAATTGAAGGAAAAGTTTTGTGCCATAAACTTCTGTAGAAATTTTAAGCCAAGCATCATTAATTAGTGGCCACGTGTATTTGTTAATTTATTTTAATTGATTGACTATATAGGTGGATGATTGTGTTTCGTAGTGTGAAGCGGATGATTAATTCCTATGTTAGTATTAGCAGTAGTTGGAGTCTGAAGTAGTTTGTCTCGTGTCTCTTGGATATAAAAGTCAGTAGCCTCCGGTGGTTCTTTTTTTTTTTTGTTTGAACATTGTAAGAATTGTAGCTGCAGCCTTGTTTGATTAATTGAAGAAAATTTGCTTTGCCTCATATATCAAATTCTCGTTATTGTTCCTGTAGGTTTATATTTGAGTACAATTTTGGGTCCAACAACTTCTACAGATGCTCAAAAGTTGGAAACTTGAGCAAAGCAGATTCAGTTCTTTACTCTAGGATTAATTTGATGTGGGAATAGTTTCTCTTTTTCTTATTTTTTTTCCCAATAAATTTGTATCTTTGAATTCTTGAAGATGTCACTAGAAATTAAGTACCTTTTTCTGTTGACTAGTAATCAGTTTTTCACGTTAGATGATTGTTACATATTATGCAGTGTCAGCTGAGTTGGTCTACTCAGATTTGCTATGCAATATCACTGTGTCATCTGTTGATTACCAGAAAATCTCCAAATCATAATCTGTCTAATCTAATTTCTTCTTAATTTATTGCCGAAGTGCTGCAGTTGATTTTGTACCATTATTGCTACCACCCAATGTTATGATGATACACACTCATCATAAGGTACAAAAAGAATACACTTCCATGAATGACTTATAGCGAACATGCATGAATTAAACTTTCAACATAAAGAATGTTTATTGCTGAAAAACGAAAAAGAAAAAAAAATCAATATAGAATTCTATGCTGATGTCATAACCTCCGGTTGGACTGCAATTGGCTTCTGACAGAGAACTTTGCTGATGTCCATGCAGTAAGAGATCCATGAGACAGGGGTACATCAGGTGCTAATGGGGTAAATGTGATTTCATAGGTCTTCTGGTTCACCTCTGAGAAACTCAGTTTACTCGGTTGAACTGTCACATTGACGCCTCCTGGCTGAACAATCTTAACTGTGTAGACTGAATTAGCATCACCAACGTTAGTGACATTCCTTGTATACTCTGAACTTCGGATCCAACTATAATTGAGAATGAAGGAGTTCAATTGTGTGTCGCGTATTCTTGATTCAGCCGAGCAATTTGCCTTGCGCTGTAGAATTCTGCCAAGTTGCCTGTCTGTATAATTCAAGCCACATAGAAAAGTTGTGTAATCTTTTGGCTCAATGTCATAAATGAGTCCCGGATTGTTGGCTCTCGCTGGATTAACATGGCCTGAACCCGTGGCTAAAAGGTCGGCTGGAATGTGCTTATAATCTAGAATGGGATCTTGGCAAGGTTGACGAGATCAGTAGTGGTCATCATCGCAGAGTTGATTGCAGCTGGAGACCAATTGGGATGTGCACTTTTGAGTAATGCCGCGACACCGCTGAGATGAGGGCAAGACATTGAAGTGCCCGAGACTACATTGAAGATGGATTTCGTGTTGGTTTTGTTCTCAACAGATTGATGATAGGCTGCGAGAACGTTTACACCAGGGCCAATTATGTCAGGTTTCAAGATTCCAGGACTTCCAAAGCTTGGACCTCTGGAAGAAAAGTAAGCAACTGCTGGAGCCTGACTGTCTCCAATGATAGTTCCTTTGAATGAGATTGTAGCCACAGATGAAGTAGTTGAATTTATGTATGCAATGAGTTTAACTTGATCAACGTAATTTGTGTTTGTTGCTGGAAGAACATGAGCATCGGCCTGCGTGGTGTAACCTTCGGCCTCCGAATTGATGATGATCATGCTTACACCACTAGCAGCCTTGACGTTTGTTCCCTTACTTATTGGTGGTATGGCACCAAGTTCACATACTACTATTTTTCCTTTAACTTCTGTGATGTTCTGGAGTGCTTCAGTGCAGTACCGATCAGCATCAATATCACTCTGGTTTAGGCCAGGGTAAAACAGAGGATATGGTGTTGGAGGAAAATCATTGGGCTGATACAGCGACTGGCCATTTAGCTCCTCTTTGTTTCGAAGCACAGCAGTTGCCCTTTATTTCTCTGTCAATAGTGCTTGCACCAATGGTGAGAATCCATGGCACGTCGTTGGACAGAGGGAACAGATAAGGACCATTATTTCCTGCTGAGTAACTCGGGAAGATGCCTTTTTCCATTGCACTATATGCACCAAGAGCAATGTTGTCTTCATGAAATGGTACCCAACTTCCACCAAGGGAGATGGAGAGAATATCATCATCGTCAATAACAACATCCATTGCAGCCAATATATTGCTTTCGGAACAATCATCTGTACCGCATAGTTTGTAGATTGCCAAGTGAGCAAGAGGTGCAACACCGACAGCAGTGCCATTAGCATTTCCAAACACGTTGGCGCCCTTGACAAATTTTCCTGCAGCTGTGCCTGCTGTATGAGTACCATGGCCACTGTCATCAGCTGGAGATCCATTCCCATCGCTGAAGAATCTTGCTCCAATCAATTTGTTATTGCATACTGGGGTGCTGAATTCGCACTTTCCCTTCCATTTAGCAGGTGGTGGAGGCATTCCTTCATCACTAAATGAAGGGTGGTCCAGCTTAATTCCTGTGTCCAGGACTCCAATGATGACGCCCTTTCCATAAATGGACTCTCTCCAAAATCCCGAATTTTGATGCAATCCAAGCAAATTAAGAGTGCGTGTTGTATGCAAAGACAGCATCCTTTGGGGCCGAGCAGAAAGAAAACCAGACCTCTTCTCCATTTCTTTGACATCTTCACCGGATAATTTGGCAGAAAATCCTTTGAAAACATTGTGGTACCTACACACCATTCGTGGTGCTTCATTGGTACTTGCGATTGTTGTTGGCAGAAAGGAATTGTACCAGCTATATAAATCTTCATTTGGGCTTGAAAAACTTTCTGTGGGCAGCTGAGTAAAAGAGTCAGGTGTCTCAACATGAACAATGTAAGTCTCTAAATTGGCAGAGATTGCCAAAAAATGTAGTCATCGGACCACCTAGCTCAACTTGGTCTCAAATCAAGCTCATCATCTGCAAGATAAGGACTTAAGTCAACCACATTGAAGGTAGCGTGTACACCATACTCACCTGGTAGGTCCAACTTGTAAGTATTATCATTGATGTGCTCCACCACTTAGAAAGGTCCATCACCTTTAGGCAAGAGTTTATTGCATCGTTGTACCGGGAATCTTTCTTTGCGCATTTGAATTCACACCCAATCACCTGGCTCAAAAATCATCTTGCGACGACCCTTGTTAGCATTGTGAATAAATTGAAATTCCTTTTCTTAATATTATCTCTTACCTTTTGGTGCAAAGCATGCACTTGTTCAGCTCGTTTCAAACCATCCATATTAATTCTCTCAAACACAGGTAAAGGAGATAAGTCCAGAGGTGTGAAAGGGTTAAAACTATAAACAACTTCAAATGGTAAGTATTGTGTGGTGCTATGGACAGTGCGACTATAAGCAAATTCAAAATGTGGCAAACAATCTTCCCATGATTTAAGATTCCTTTGAATGATAGCATGCAACAGAGTAGAGAGTGTCTTATTAACCACTTTAATTTGACCATCAATTTGAGGGTGACTAGACGTAGAGAACAAGAGTTTAGTTCCTAACTTACTCCATAAAGATTTCCAAAAATAACTGAGGAACTTGACATCTCTATCACTAATAATGGTGCGTGGCATTCCATGCAATCTAACAATTTTCCTAAGGAACAAATCAACTACATGTTTAGTATCGTCAATTTTATGACATGAAATGAAATGTGTCATCTTAATGAAATGGTCAATAACCACATAAACAGAATCATGTCCATACCTAGTCCTAGATAACCCAAATACAAAGTCCATAAAAAGATCAACCCATGAAATACTAGGAATAGGTAATGAAAAGGGGTGGAAGGGTTTAAAAAAAACATTAAAAAATTTAAAAACTTTGTTCAACATTGAAACCTTATGCCTAATCTTCGATTTTTAAATATATTTCCATAATATTGAGTTTGGTATTCTTCGTTCAAAATAGAAGCTTGCTGAAATAAATTTCTCACACAAGGAGGGCTAGCATCCCTCCCCTATTTACAGGGTTTTACTTTGAAAAAAAAAAAGAATATGGTTTTAAACGAAATCATAAAATGAGGGAGAAATATCTCCTAGATTAGATCAAGATTGAAAAGAATGCATAAATAATAAACAACTTGTATATAATCATGATTTGGCTTTGACCATTATAGTCATTGTGCTTTTAACCAACATATAACTTATGCGAGCCATAATGGATTATATATATTAGTTGAGCCGAGGAGGCCTAGGCGCAGTATTTATTTAAAGTTGATATTTCAAGAATTAGAGGATTTGAGTTTAATTGTCCTTCACCTTTTCAACTTCTTAAAATCCCGCATCTTTAATTCTAAAGAAAATTTTAAAAAATATGTTGGTTAAAATAGTACTAGTATGTTTTCATTTAATATTGAACTATGAAATATGAATTGAATGTATATACTTGTGGTAAATAGCTTGCTTGTAGACAAATTTCTGCTTTCTAATAAAACCTATACTAACCCATGCCCATCGCTCACTTACATATATGTGCATTAGCGTTTTATAATTTAGTATTCATGCCATTATAGAGATACAACTATTAGAAAATCAATATTATAAATTTGAAGGCCTTGAATTGTGTCAAATACCAAGAAAACATTTATGCATGCCTATTACACATTTAAGAAATATATAAGGAAATTAAAACAGAATTAGGGCAAAAAATATAAAGTTTGGGGTTTAAAGATAATATAGGAAGAATTTAAGGGTTGATGGTGAATTTGATTTCCTTGCTAAAGATCATGATGTGCAGTCTGCATTATCCAAATGGTTCACTAAAGGTTCAAAGTCGGAC